CCCCCCCCCATGCCACTGTGAATTGTACGTGAAGTCATGTGAGATACTTCAGGTTTGATGGGATTGGCTACAGGCGCCTTTTAGGGCATCCGCACGGTAGGAAATCGGTACGGTATGCTTGGAAAGATGTGGGACTCTGGGAACCTGACTTCACTGGAGTCGGATTTACGTGGCAAATTTGAGGATTTTGGGCTTGTAAGGCGTGCAGTATTTGACTCAACATAAAAAGTGATTTGTTGTCCGTGTGACAGGTGAGAAGGGTAAGGTAAGCGTTCTCAAGAGATCGCGATCGGTGTGGATGAATAAGTGATCGTCGTAGGTCGATCAATGCCTTTCATTTCCGATTACAAAAACAAAACAAAACAATAAACAATCACCTGCAGCTTGTCCTTGACAGCCTGCAGACAGCTCGAGAATATCCCGTGAGCAGTGGAGTGTTCCCTTGCCCATTCCAGTAACTGACTATAATGTGTGTGGACAGTTTCTGCACCGTCGATTTGAAATAATTTAGTTTCTGTATTACAAAGGGATGGAAATATGGATAGAAACTTCAGATGAATCAATTACTCACTGAAAAAAAACCCAAAACATTTGACAGTAAAATTGATCCTAAAAAGAATGAATTAGTGGGCGGATCATCCATGTGATCTGAATCGGTATCGGCCGATCAGCAGCATAAAACCCTGAAACAACCTGGGATAACTGCCGGAAGACAGCTGGGATAAGTTTTAACGGTTCGTTTAGTTGATGCCTCTGCGCTGTGGTCATGATGGGAATGTACAATACTTTCACACAAGACGTTTTGGAGCTGCTGGGAACCCGGCACCGATATCTCCTATTCTCGGGGCTGCCCTGGATGCTATTTCAACTCCTTACCCTCACTCTGGCCCTGCAGGGTGGGGCGAACCAACCCCTCCCGCCCCCCCCTTCGCCTTCCACCCACAGAGGGACGCAGCACGTCTTCAGGGTCAGGGGTCCAGCGAAGCCTTTTCAAGCCGTGAAACACAAGCGGGCTCTCTGGGGAGGTGAGAGCGGCCGAGGGGAACGCGCCTCCCTGGTTTTCTTTATCGGCGCCTGATTAAATGACGGCGAGATAAAAAAACGAAGAGAAAAGATTCGGAGGGTCCCACGGTGGCGTCACCAAAGGAGTCTGAATATATCCGTGATGATGATAACAATAAGCGACTGCATCCATGTGATTTGGGGCCTCCTGCTTGAAATTGAGAACACATTCCGCTGTCGCGTTGTCGCTTTGATACAAAAACAAAGAGGGAAGATCGTGTGTGATCCGTTCCTACTTTTAAGAACATCATCGACAATAAGTAAAAAGAACCTGCGCTGTTGCTCAAGTACCGTATTTTCTCCGGATTATAAGGCGCACCTTCAATGAATGGCCTATTTTATTGTTTCAACAAAAAGGCACACAAACGTCGCGGGCTCGCATCCACAAATTTCCTTAGAAGTCTTGCTTGTCTCCTTCTTCCTTCGTTTAGTCAGTCGTTAACGATGCTTTTGGTGTTATCTTCGTTTCATAATGGCTGCACAGAGCTCACCAAGTAGTTGTCTGTTGGAGTGCGTGTTGGCGAATGCACATGTCAATTAGCGTCGGGCAGAACCCTTTTCGGTTACAATTGGTTCCTGCTAATAATCACCACTAGATGGCAGCGGAACACGAACAGGGAAACAACTCAATGGGGAATATAAAGAAACTGTAACACCATATATAAAGCGCATCGGATTATAGGGCGCACCTTTTGGAAAAATTGAATGCTTTTAGGTGCGCCTTATCGTGCGGAAAATACAGTAGCTATCCAAATGTGAGAATTTGGCCAAAATGTGGACCAAAAATGTCTTTTGATGAGCATCACACACACGACGTTCAGCAAACGGAGGCTCCAACATCGAAAAGCAAGAAGAGTGAAAATAAATAAGCGCAAGGCCTCTGTTTGTTTTCTTGCACCTGATTTATATAACAGCCAGCATGCGTGCGAAAACCAGCAACCCAAACTCTCGGCCACTCGGTAATCCTGCAAGATCATCACTTCCATCTGCGCAGCATATGCTCCGCTCTTCAAAAACAAGCCTTTCATCATATTGTACAATTCGGTCACATTTTACTGTCTCTTTTACTCATTTTAAATGCCCTTTCTTGAAGTTTCAAGGAAAGCATCAAGGGGGAGCAGACTTATGTGTACGTGTAAATACAGAGATAAACGTTCGCGTTTGCCACGTCCTCGTGTAAGTTGGCTAACTTGATCCCGAGGCCGCTGCCAAATATTTAATCTTCAAGGTCAATCGTTGGGAATGCATGTACACTTTATTTAGCGTGAATGATTCTTAAATATTTACGAACTGGGGCTCCACTCATGATTGGTTGTACTACTGGACTAAAATAATAATAAGAAGAAGAAGAATTGAAATGGTCAGTGTGCACTCGACTGTCGAGATGACTTCCTTTAGAGCTTTTATTTGATGAGGAAAACATTTTTGCAAGAAGCTGGTTTGATGAAAGCCAGGCTGGAAAAAAAGATGCTATGTCGTTGAGATGACCCATTTCACAACACCAGAAACACAGACTCAGCACATGCGCGCGCGCATACACACACACACACACACACACACACACACACACACACACACACACACACACACACACACACACAAACTACTGCCCTCGTCAATGAAGTCCATTCTTCAAATAAGTCATTAATGTGTCAATTATTTTGTCAATTCATCAATGAATGAGATTAAGAAATGTAATTTCCTTCTCTCTTTAAAAGCAAAAAATGTCAAAATGTAAATGAATTATGATTCAACTGCTGGCTTGGTCCGCACCACGACAGAAAATCTAAAAATCAAGGTTAGGATAGTTCATAAAAACCAATGACTTAACAAACAAATAGATCACACATTTTTGTTAACCAAATAAAATATAAACGAGCGATTAAAAAAAAAAACAAAAAAAACCACAAGTAGCTCCCCCCCTTCGGCTACTCATGGTAGGGCTCCAGACCGTCCTCGCAGACTGACTCTGGATTTACCGTATCAGTTTCGGTGAGAGGTACAATATTTGCTAATGCTTTTGTACTGGCTCTCATTACAACTGTGCAGCTGTACCTAATGATGTGTCCGGTGGGTATTCAGTCCGGTTGTGAAAGCAACATGTAATTGTGTAAATTACGTCTTCGGGCTAAATCCGTTGAGCAGCTGTATCAGACCGTGTAGCTGCGATGCGAATCATCTACATTCTCAACGTTGACTTTCTTGGACGGCTCTTGGCCTTCCGCAGCCAACTGAGATTTGAAGTTATGACGAGATGAGTCATTTTGGCGTCATCAAGTCAGTTTCGGTGCAATGTAGAAGTGTGTGAAAGGGCTTCACGTGGGCCTCCGGTTCCTGGAGGGGCGAGCTCAGCGGCCCTCAACCCGCTTTGGCCCACGTGTCAGACCGATTGCATGTGGCATGGCGCTGCAGGAGTCGGTGAGAGGTGGTGGGGGTGGAGGGTGTGTGCGTGTGTGTGTGTGTGTGTGGGGGGGGGGGGTCTTCGATTTGACCCATCATGCAGAGTCTCTGCGCCTAAACGCCGGCTGCATGCAATAAATTCTCTTTAAAGAGGGTTTACTTTTGCTATTAATGGCCGTTGTAGATTTACTACGCCCCCGATGACAGTGAGAACCGTTTCAAAGAGCTCTCTCCAAACTTTCTCCACCCTACACTAGAAACGCACTGGTGTGCATTTTGCGACAGACTTTACCTGCAGTTGACATCAAAAGAAATGACATTACAAATTGCTAACGACATTGGCCTCTTTTGCACAAGCAACGTTGGTGCGCGATCCACAATTGGTTTCGCCTTTATGTATGACAGAGAACACAGCTAAGGCCAAATAGTAATTTTGGACAAATTAACCCAAAGTTTCCTCTTGACAAACTGTATTAATTAAAAAAAAAAAAAAACTACTTTCCAATGAGCCATTTTGTGTTTTGCCTCAGTGATAAATAGATCTCTCTCACTCTCTCTCTCTCTCTCTCTCTCTCTCTCTCTCTCTCTCTCTCTCTCTCTCTAACCCCCAAGATTAAAAAAAGTGTTGTGCAATAAACACTCAACAAAAGATAATTGAAAAAAAAAAAAACTGCAACCAAATATCCCACATGGCCATAAAGTACAGCTGTTATCACACCGGCCAAGCTGATATAAAACCATTTCAAATCAACTCCGAAACCTCATTTAAGAAATTTTCGCTATATATAGTTGACTTGAACGAGCTCATGCAAAAATTTCATTTCATTCCTTTAATTGAGTAACATCCGCTAGTTTAAGTTTATAGTCTTATTTTTCTAGTTTCAGTTATTTGTAATGTTAAGCTAGCTAATGTTAGCGTCAAGAACACAACGAAGACAATAATAATGCTTCAGATTTCAGCGGTTGAAAAAAAAAAAAATCTTCATCTTTTTGCATGCTACCATCCCACAGGTGCTATTCGCCTTGAACCAAACGCTGCTGCAACACGAGGGTGTCCGAGCGGGCAGTCTGCAGGGCGCCTACACCACCGAGGACCTCATCACGCATTACAACTGCGGGGACCTCAGCTCCATCATCTTCAACCATGACAACTCGCAGGTCTGCATGCTCGACTCATTCTCACCCATGTTCTGCGGGGCCACTTTGTATCTGCCAATGGATACAAACTGGAGCTATGGCGAGTTCGTTTCCGCGACAAGGCTGTGTTGGAGCCGTAAAGTCAAAACTATTTTTTATACAGCGCTGTCTAAACACCGATGGCTTAAATTGAAGTTTGACAACAAAATAAGACTGAGCTTGTCTACATTTGGTGAAATACATCCTGTACACCGGCTACTGAGGCAGATAACTAGCTAGCATCGTCAGTTTGAAGAGCAAAGTAGCAGCTATCATACTAATGTTCTGACAGACAAATAAGTCCTTTTACTGTTGTCATAAAAGTGGGGAAAAAGTTGTTTTTGTTCGACAAACACTATGATGATGTGTCATTTTTATATTTTTTTGTTAACTGTCATCATATTGTTAGCATGTGCCAAGTTAGAGCTGGAGCTGATTTTTGTGTAAGATTGTTGTTTTAGTTAACTAGCTCTGATGTGAAATGGATAAATCATGTCCTCATGTTTCTTTTCAATGCAAAAACAAAAATAACTGCAAAACAATCATGTTGACCTCCGCGTCAGAACAAAGCCGGATAATGGCTGTGCTGGTGCCTGGACACCCACACACACAGTCTGCTGAAAATGTATTTTTTTTTGCTTATTTTAAACACAAGCAGAAGCTCACCACACACAAAAACAACATGAGTATTTTTTTCCCCCTTCCAAGGCAACCAGGATCTATGTTCGCTCACCACGCATCTCTAATTCAAAATGAATGCAAATGTCATGAGATTCCACTCCATCTGTGAAGCATCTTAATGTCAAAATAAACTTTGCTTTCTTTAGTGGGGGGGTTCTAAACTTGTACGGGCCGTAACACTGACATATAAGCTATTAATAAAAGACTCAAGGGACATGAATCAGGAAGCCCTTTGCCAAGAAATTGTTGACAATGAACAAAATAGCTTACGGCATTTTACAAGACACGAATGTAACTGACAGCTTCGAAAACATGCAGCACACAACACACACAAAATGTTGTCAACAGATCTCGAAAACACTCCCAAACTCACCATAAGTCAGGTTTTACCAGACACATTAAACCCAACACACAATGTAACCTTAGCTTGACAATTTATTCACGCCGGAGACCCGCAGAAAAGTGTGAAAGTCCGAGAAAGAAAAAAAAAAATCTCTCTGGCCCCCCTCGTGTCACTTTTGTAGTCTGCGTCCATTCGTCTTTCTAACTCAGTCGGCCCCCAGGAGCTTGTTGCAGCTCTCCTTTCACTTGAGTGGCCCGTCGGCGGCCTCATGCCCTTTAAATCAGAGCAATTGGGCCATAATGAAATGACATGTACTGGAGTTTTGCAGCACATGTTAGAGCTATCAGACGCCTGGAGCTTTAAATGCGCGTGCGCGCGCGCGTGTGTGTGTGTGTGTGTGTGTGTGTGTGTGTGTGTGTGTGTGTGAGAGTGAGAGTGAGAGAGAGAGAGAGAGAGAGAGAGAGAGAGAGAGAGAGAGAGAGAGAGAGAGAAAAAGAGAGTTCACGTGAAGAACTGCAGGTGAGCGACTGATTGGATCCAAATTGGAGACCTCCAACATAGCCACTCATGTTAAAAACAGGTCAGCAATGAATTGTCAAGTAGCTCGTACAGTATTGCACACGCTTTGCCCGCACAAATTTTATGTACTGGTACACCATAAGGTGATAGCTGCAATTGGACACATTTTTAAAGTGCTGTATGTACCGTATTGGCCCGAATATAAGACGGTGTTTTTTTGCATTGAAATAAGACTGAAAAAGTGGGGGTCGTCTTATATTCCGGGTCTAGACATTATACCCATTCACGACGCTAGATGGCGCCAGATATCATTGAAGCGAATGCTGAACTTGACTTCCCAAAGTGAACCCCTGCCACGAAGAAGAAAAATAAAAAATAGCGGTAACAAGGAAAAGAGAAGAAAATAATAGAAGAGATAACAGAAAATGGAGAAACGTAGTGACAATCTGGAGAAAAGTGGGTCGAAGATCGGCCAGGTTAACCGGCAGCTGAGGAGAAGTTATGATGATGTAATTTACATTTCAAAAACCAGAAGCCATTCATTTACGAATGTGATTGCACTTTAGATTTGAATGAGGCATGCTCTTTCTCTCAAATATATTGTTATCAGGGCCGTCTTATATTTGGGGCAATACGGTATGTGTGTATATTTTATATATCCATCCATCCATTTTCCGATCCACTTATCCTCACAAGGGTTGCGGGGGGGTGCTGGAGCCTATCCCAGCTGTCTTCAGGCCAGACAAAAAGGCAAACAACTGTGGTTACATCATCTACCTAAACTCTTTTTCCAAAGTGTTCCAAGCAACTCACTAATGCAGTGCAATCGCAATGAACCGACACACAAATTTTCCTTCGTGGCTGACCAGTTCCTTTAGCACCGTGCGATCCATTTTCGACAAAACAGACGTGATTTGTGAAAAAATTAATAATATAAAACTGGCATCATTCTCTGCTTTTCTGAATCCACCAACCCGATAAGGGTTTGAAATCAAAAGCTCCAGCAGTTTACAACGACTTGTGTGAAACGGCAGAGGTGTCAGTGAGCAAAAGCAGTTGAACAGATGCGCGCGCCTTCCCGGCGCTAGCGTGTCGAACATACATGACAAAACAACGGCCATTTGTGTCGAGGAAAGTGTGAGCCTCTCCTCTGTTCGGAGGCGGGTAATATACTGTCGGCGTGAAGTCGGGAAGGTGTCGGCTCAAAGATGGACGCGAGCGAGTGGGACGTGCTCGCACTAAATCGCGAACAGTGTCAAACTCAAACACATGAAACACATCTGCACTCGCGCCAAATGTTGTCCGTCTCTCACCGGCAACTCTTTCGCATTTCATTTGTCTTCCTCAGGCATTGTGGGAACTCCACACTGCGCTCGCCTCGGTGATTCACTGCTCTTAAACAACATCATAAAGTGTCATGTTGTGAGCGTAGACCGCGAGCGCCGTGTCAAGTTGAACACCCGAGACTCATCGGCCACTCCCCTTTTGTGTCGAAAGCAATTTTTGTTGTCCCAGACGATGTCGCTGTCATCGCTACGCATTATCTGAAGGCGCGCAGCCACGGCGGCTGCGTAAACGCGCAATACGGATTAGGTTGGTGAATAAAGAGCACCACTGTGTGAATTTCGTTTAAATTAAATAATAATAATAATAATAAAAATTAAAAAATATATATTTTGGCGCCACGTTATTGTGCGACTTCCCAGTTTGATTTTGGCAGCATGTTGTGGCATCTTAGTGATTCAGAAAAAAAAAACAACGCACCAACATTTACAATAGCTGAATGGACTGAGAAAATTCGTGTACGTCCTTTAAGTGCCTTTTCGAAATGCCCACTTTGAATGCCTCACCCATGAGATCCCCTTTTCCCTTTCCTTTTCTTTTTCTTTTCAACCAGCTGCCCCACTTCATCAACAGCTCTCTGCCAGCTTACGAGCGCACCACGGCGCAGCAGATCGACAGCTACTTCCGCCAGGAGCTCATCTACAAGCGGAACGAGCGCATGGCTCGCCGCGTATCCGCCCTGCTGCAGAGGAACCCCAACCAGACCTACTTTTTCGCCTTCGGCGCAGGTGAGATGATCGGCAAGGAGAAATAATCAACCAACCCCAGAAAGGCGTTTTGGTTTGCTTTCCTTTAAAACAGAATCTCTCTGTCCTAATGTGTGTTGATGTTGAACAGTGTTTAAAACCAGAACGAGGAAAAAAAAAAGGATGATAGTAATAGCAGACAATGGATCCCAGACTTCTGGTACACACGCGTACAGTCGGACGTCTAAATTGCAGCTAATTCCAACCTCAGGACTGAAGAAACTGCTGTTTGTTTCAATGAGCATTCCTAGCTAATGCTGCTAATATTTCCTGAGTTGTGTTTGTCCTGGGGAATGCGCGTACGAGTGTGTGTGTGTGTGTGTGTGTGTGTGTGTTCCATAAACATTTGTGTTTCCACAAGCAGGTGGTGAAATGCTTTTGATGGCGCTGTATGGAAAACCGTTTGAGCATTTATTCGATATCCAGCTACTGTCTCTCACTTGTATGACAATTCAGCGCACTAGCAGAACAACTGCGAGCACTTTTAGCACTATTTTGTGACAGTTCCGTGCAGCAGGAGGGCAACATTGGCAGACCAGGAGAACAGCTAGATGCTACAAGTCAAGCAAAACCACTAAAAAAATGGGCATTTTGGTGCTACTAGATGTTAAATAATGGTCAAGTGATGACAACATATGTGTGTTCAGACACAAACATCATGTCCACCATTTGACATCATCCATCCATCCATTTTCTGATCCGCTTTATCCTCACAAGGGTCGCGGGGGGTGGGGGAGTGCTGGAGCCTATCCCAGCTGTGTTCGGGTATTTGGCGGGAAACCACCTGAACTGGTTGCCAGCCAAACGCAGGGCACACACAGACGAAAAACCATCCGCGCTGACGCCAAGGGACAATTTAGAGTGTTCGATTAACGTGCCATGTATGTTTTTGGAGTGTGGGAGGAAGTCGGAGTACCCGGAGAAAACCCACGCAGGCACGGAGATAACATGCAAACTCCACACAGAAAGGCCAATTATTCTTTCCCATGCGCTACTCTTTGTTGAACACGTTCAGAAACATGGACAAAGGCGCAATGAGCAAATCTGCCATTTTGTTTGAATTACTAACGACCCAAATGGCCAGTTGCGCGTATTTGACACTATTAACCCTTTCATGCACCCGGTAACCTGATCACATGATAAACTGTCACTCAAATGGTTAATCTCCGGCCAGTGTTTACATATTCAAATGATCCCTTCGACAACATTCCCAGAAAATCACAATGTCCCATCATTGGTGACGGGTCAGCGACTTTTCGAAAAGACTCCCCAATGTTGTTCCGGCTACGTGGCGTCCGCGGGCATCACGTTGGTGACCCCCTCCCCGGCCCCCTGCTCTAGTGATAAGAAATAGGACCCAATAAATGTTTTTAAATGTGTCTTTCTCAGGCCCAAATCAGAACACTTCCTGTCTCGTATTCGTTGGCTCATCCCTTTACGGTCCGGCACAAGTCCCCGCCGTTTGTGTTTCTAACTAGCAATGAAGTTTTATCATCCATTTGATACCACGAAAGCACCCATTGACAAACGACATTAGAAGTAGTGAAATCCCGTCTGTTGGTACTTAAGTGACTTTATTGCATGAACCGCAAGACAACTTTGGCGGTTTCGAAGGGGGAATTAAAAGAAGTGTCGTAAGAATTGAGGGCTTAACCAGACATGCTCAAGAATATAAAACAGCCAGGGTGCACTAAGGTTTCTTCGTTTTTATAGTCACCTTGGGTACAGTGTCGTTTCCAACAATGTGGAAACGGTTTTGGGGAAGGCCCTTTACTGTTCCAGCATGACTGTGCCCCGCTGCACATGGACAGTCCCAAATACTTAGGCCTCATTGCCGTTTCGGTGAGAAACCAGTCCGGCAAAGTAAAATTGACTGGAAAGAATCCAGGCAGCACCCGAGTCACAACCGTCTCCATTTACAGCAGTCGAAGGTCCCATCCGGAAGTTTTTGCACCATGTGACGACGCGTGCATAAAGTGGCTCGGATTGGAAATCCATCTTTACCCTGCCTCGGTCTGCACACCTACACCTTCCTGACTGGAAGTGCCTTTGTGTGCAAAGTGCAAGCTTGAGAAGGCTGTTTGTCGACCGGATACCTCCGCATATTGTACATGCTTTACCAACCGTATGCTTAATCGGATTCTCACCTGTTTTTCGGGGGAGGGTTGGGGGATTGGTCATGCGACGTCTGCAATCTGAGGCCGTGGGCACTGTTAGGTCAGTTTCAGTTGAGCAGCAGGTGGCAATACAAGACACACATAAATAAAAAAAATTAAAAAAAAGGCAAATTTTTTTGGCTTAATTGTCATTCCACAAAATGGATATTAATCAGAATACTGTGTTTAGACTAGTGGGGGACATATTAAAAAATATATATCTCATGTGACTTAACATAAGAAAGTCACTAGAATTCTTTCAGAATAAATGACAATTTACAGACAATCCTAATTTGATGAATTTCAATTCATATTTCGTTTTGACACTAAATACCGCCTTTGTCACATTTAATCATCACGCGTTCTAAGAGTTTTCCCGCAAAATACCCATGCAGGGCTGGCTGTGTATGTAAATATGACAGCGCTCATCAACATTTAATGCTCATCTACGTTCCATACACACACACAACTTGATGAGCAACATATGAGCGTCCGGGAAGGGAGCTAACTGCAGACTGATTTGAACTCGCAGCGAAAAGGATCGTATTTTTAAAAGAATACCTTTCTGACAGTGTCCATCGCATTCAATTGTGCAGCTGCCAAGCAGTCTGCATACGAAGCTCTTCACTGACCACTTCACTCGGCTGCTTCTTAGCGTCGCTCGTCTCTTGAGGCTGTCGCTGGTACTACAGGATGTTGTTCTCCCCTTGCAGTTATTGTTCTGGAAAAAAAAAAAAAAGCATTTTAAAAAACACGCGTAGGCGGTGGTTACTCAGCTCGGGCGGCACCAATTTTAGTTTCCTGCCAAGCCCTCAGACATGATTTGTGTCGCTGTAATTTTATTTTATTTTTTATAGATTCTTATGTTTTGCAAGTGAGTCGGCCATAATATTTGAAAGACTTGTCACTTCTTGTCGTCAACAACATTCAGATGGTACTTCTTTACGGTGCTTAAGTGACACTTTATCATTAAGTGCTGGCTCACCTCAATAACAGACAAATCTGAGAACGGATTGAACGGATCAGACAAAACACAAATAATGCAGGGAACGGGGGTTGCTTGCATGGTTAAAAAAATTAAAATAAATTTAAAAAAAAAGCAAGCACGGGGCGGATCAGACAAAACACAAATAATGCAGGGAACGGGAGTTGCTTGCATGGTTAAAAAAAAATTAATTAAATTTAAAAAAAGCAAGCACGGGGGAAAAAAAAAACAATAATTCTGCGATGCCTTATGGCACAGGTGTCAAACACAAGGCCTGGGGCCCAGATCCGGTCCGCCATGTCATTTTATGTGGCCCGCCAAAGCAAATCATGTGTCAACTTCCATGATGCTTGCCAAAATCTGGACCAAGGCTAAAATCTGTACCAAAATGTCAAATTGTCACATACAGGTATAAATAAATAATGTTGAGATTTTGCAATCATCTTGTGACCCTGTTTGCACTGTCAAATTGTCACATATAAATAAATAATGTTGAGATTTTGCAATCATTTTGTGACCCTGTTTGCACTCACTTCAACGATAATTGAACAAACTATTTTAGTTGACTGCTTTCAAAACTCGTAATCCATCAATTTGTTGTGTTACAAGTAATAACACGATGAGATGATGAAACGTTTATTTGGTTTCACTGTCATAACGGCCCTCCGATGGAAGACGTAATTCCAAAGTGGCCCGCGACAGAAATGAGTTTGACACCCCTTCCTTACGGTATGAGCGATTTTTAAAAAAAAATTTTTTACTGTTTGGCAGCTCACACAAAATCATCAGCCGTTTCGCTGAAAGAAAACAATTTGTCCCACGCCCCAAAAAATCAGCTTCAAGTCGGTTTATACAACTGCTCGTGTCAGTTTACTATCAAACTAAACATAAAACAAAGAGAATTACAATTTGTCAATTGAAAACAACCACACATTGCCTCTGGAAAGCCTGTTTTGTTTGACAACAAACAATGCAAAATGGATGTGCTAGCAATTAGCATGCTACTTTGTTGTTTCTGCCAATGGAAAAAAAAACAAAAATCCTCCATAGCGAATAGCCAAGTAAGAACCGCGCAGTGGAAAAGAAGGATTTGATTGCTGGCTTCTCCTTGTCTATGCGCTATTTCCACTGTCTTCATTATTTAATGATGACCAACGAAACGCATGGAAAGACGTGTGAATGTCCTCTAACACCACCAAGGCCAAATAGGAAAGAAGCACACTTTCCACTTTCACTTCCCGCCTTCTTCCTTACGCTGTCTCTCATGCACTAGCACCAAATTGCGTTTGGATAAGCAGCGTCTTGTTCTTTGTGGCGTGCAGCAGGACCTCGTTTGCCAGCTCTCAGGCTGCCGCCTTATTGAAAACATCCCGTGGAATTTCCTGACGCGGCCGCAAGCCGAGACGCCGCTCCGCACAGTCGCCGTACGTGTATGCCGGCGAGGCCGGTCATGTGATGCGCGCGCATTGCCAAGAAGAGTTGGCGCTCTCCAAAATACACATGTAGGTTTGTTTGTTTGAGCCACTTTCATTTCCCTTCCCAAGAGCTAATTTTTGGTGTCAAAGCTCTGCCATGCTGACTTGCAGGGGACCGTCATGAGGGTGCTTATAAATATAATTTTTTTTTTTTTTCTTGAACCCTTTCAGGGACAGCGGTTACTACAGTGTACAGCTTATCATGTGATCAGGTTACAGGGTGCATGAAAGGCTTAAAAATCACTGACGGCCATTTCAGAGCATTTTGTGTTCAATGATTACACTGAATCTACCAAAATAAACAATCCTCTATTTCACTCTTCTGCCTTTTTCTGTGCTTTTATTATCAGCTGTAGAACCAAGACGGTTTTTAAAAATGTGCTGATCTCATGTGTGTGGAGCGTTGCTTCCATCTACTGGCGGGTGTGCGTCACTAAAGTTGTTTGCAAGCTTGCCTGCGTGGGTTTTCTCCGGGTACTGCGGTTTCCTCCCACATTCCAAAAAACATGCATTTAGGTTCCAGCATGCCCCGCGACCGTTGTGAGGATAAAGCGGATCGGAAAATGGATGGATGGATGGACTATTAATACATATTGATACTCCAGGTGCACCACAATAAGTTTGAATATCATGGAAAACGTCGATTTCAGCAGTTGAATCAAAAAAAAAAATCAAAATTCACTATACACACAGTGAAAAAAAAAAATCATGGTTCCATTTCCAAAAATGTCCATGATTATACAGCTAACAAAAATCCCAAACGAACCATTTTTTAGAAAGTTTAAATAAAGCTAGCGTTGCGTCAAAAACCCATGATCAGATTTGATCAGTGTCATATTTTTTTTTACGTTTCGTGTTTGAGTTTCACTTTTTGACTTCAACTACTGAAACACATTTTTTTTTCGACCATATCGCAATTCATTGAGGCGCGCGTGTCAATAAAAATGTTTTTTAATGTTTATCTTGACATCAAAATATCCCTTTTCGCATTACTTTCCGTACAAAATCATCACGGCAACACACTCTCATGCGGGCACGCACGTCACTCGCCCCCGTCTTTGCCGCGCTTTATGGCGAGCGCGTTTGCTTTTCTCAGCCTCTCTCCACGTCTGTTTGCCTTTCTTTCTTCGCCCCGAGTTCATCTTTCATTCTCCACTTCCGCGTCTCGCTGCTTTCAGCGGCTAAAGAGATGATCAAATCAAATCAAATAGAAAGTCTACACTTGGCGGGGAGTTGGGGGGGAATAAATCTCTGCCTACATCCTAAACTTTGCTTCCATTAGAATACGTTTGCAGGCTGCCAAGAGCATGTAGCAGCAGGTGGCGCCATACAACCTGACCTTAACCCTTTCGGGGACGGCGGTTACTACAGCGGACGGTTTCTCATGTTATCAGGTTACAGGGTGCATGACAAAAGAGAATACTGGGAAAGTTTTCAGAAACGGAGTATAAATATTCCTTTTTTTTGTATCGCCACTTGAAAGGCGCTTATACCTGTAAATAAAATGTATTATTATGATTATTATTACTTGTCAATGACAAAACTAATGTGCGGACATGACATGAGTGTCGCCATGTTGACTTTTACGAGACCGATGACATCACCGACTTGTTTGAAACTTTCCAAAAACATGATGTAATCACGGACACACCTTGTAAGCGCACCGAACAGAAGGAATGCTGTTATTGGTGAGGTTCTTCTTCCCATTCTCTTCCCCGAGCAAGATCATGTTTTGCTTTTTCACGCGGTAATTGTGCGTTCATGCGAGTGCGTCACGATTCGAAGCCACTTTTCTCCTTTCAAGCGTTCCCCTCCCTTTGGCCACCGTTCAAAACCAACAAGGGTAATTTGTGGTTTCATCTTGTCATCGATTTTATCGCTATAAGCAGACAAGTGTGTTGTTTTCAAATGAGTTCTCAAACGTTGCCATCGGGAGTTTGAACGTCTTCATTCAGGGTGTGGAGAAGAAGTGCGGCATCAGGCCCATGCATTCATTTCAATGATTTGTTTTTTGTTTTTTTTTAATTGCACGTTATAGCGCCGACTGCAACCTGCGTGTGTAGAAGTCAGGTTTAATCCTAGACGGGAGACTCGGCACTCAAATTCATCTCAGGGACTGTTTGCGTGCCATGCAGGTGCTGCTGTTTTGGCTCACAACTGAATCGCTTTTTAAACGCTCAATGCGTGAAGGGCAGTCGCGAATCCCAAATTTATTGTTATTAAATCAAATCGAATCAATGCAGCTCCTTCGTGCGCTCACATGTGCAAGCGATTAGCACTAAAAGTGCATCATGTGTTTGCTCGGGTCCCGCAAAGAAATGCTCCGTGACTTGCCTGCTTCAACATTCTTGGCCTCGATTCAAACAGAAGAAAATAATTACAAAAATACAGACATGAAATCAACGTTCGGGGCCACGGTATACAAGCGCACGCTTACATACCTGCATGCTTTTATCTCGTCGCCCTCTGAGTAGCCTTGCGAGACACACACACACACACACACACACACACACACACACACACACACACACACACAGCCAGCAATACAAAACTGCTGTTGAGGGGGAAAAAAAACCCAAAAACAAAACAAAAATAAACTGCCTGCGAGGCTTTCATTAAGGGAAACAAGAGAATCATTTGGAACTTCCATGAATAATAAGCTGCAACTTTCATTAGCAAGTGCGGCAGGGTGTGTGTGTGCGTGCGTGCGTGTGTTAGTCGAACAGTCAAACAGCTGCTCCTCATACTCTTTTCGTCCCAGCAGGGAAATATTGTGGCTGGGAGAAAAAAAAAGAAAAGGGAAAAAAAAAAGCAAACAACGGGGGCATGTTTTGTTTTTCTTCAATCATGGCGCTAAACGTTATCGGCTTTCCTCTCGTGGGAGATGATTACATTCTGCAGCAGCAACAAAATGGAGTATTTCAAGGAGACATATGGATTTTTTATTTTTTTTTTACAAGCTAAAATGCTCCCCAAGTGTCTGAATAAAAAGTTTGACTTTCGTCTGCGAAAACACACAAAGGATAAAGAATTGAAGCGCATTTTGATCTCAGGCAAAATGCGCAGTATGGCTTTCGGCGCCACCACGACTGAGGGCGGAGCTACGGCAACGCAAAAGCTACTCGAGCGTTGCCCGCTTAGCGACTTTTCCACTTCGTCACCAAACTCCAGAAGGAAAGTTTTATTTTGTGAGGCAGATCCATGAACACATCCAACCCCCCTCCCCCCTCCCATGACAATTTAGCCAGGCATTTTTTTATGCAGAAGATGCTAATCTGTGCTCACTCTCTGGCTCTTCTAACATTTTCTGAACGTTCCAAACGGCTCATTCACACGCATTTTCAGAAATGGGTCGAAAGCAGGTGGCTAACTTGGTTGTCTAAATTCACAATTGACGCGCGGGCAGACATTCAAGTCTTTTGTTAATGTTGAGCTGCGAAACCATACGTGTCCAAATATCAGAGATGAAAGTGGACTTTTCTGAAAATTCCGGAAAAAATAAATAAAGAAATGAATAAATGTGTGTGTGTGTGTGTGTGTGTGTGTACAAACACACACACACACAAACACACACACACACACACACACACACCACACC